CTAGTGGCTTTAATAAATAACAAACAATATATCACCACAGAGATGTGCCAAGACCACCAAAGAAATGATATTAATAGCAAATGAACAAAAGGGGCTCAATAAAGTTATTACAGAAATAAAAATGAAAACGACAAAGGATATTACTATCCATTCTCTGGATTTGCTTTTAAGACAGTTCCCCTAGGTTGCCCAAGATGGCTTGAGTGGCCCTCTTACTTCAACCTTCCAAGTATCTGGGACTAAGGCAAGAAGCAGGGCCTAGTTTAATATGGCTTCTACAAACGACAGAACACAGTGGTGAATAAAACTAGAAACTCTCATTATTATCAATGTTAATATATAATGGTATAGCCATTTTTGGACACCAGTCTGAAAGCCATTTGTCTGTTTCTCATAAAGTAAAACATATACTTACCAAAACAACCAACTAATCTGTCTCCCCAGGATTTATCCAAGAGAAAAATCATTCACACAGACACTCGTGTGTGAATATTTATGTTTTATTCATATTTGCCCCAAACTGGAAAAACAGAACTATCATTTGACTGGCTGGTGCTTGAACAATCTGTGGTGTATTCAAATGCGGGAATACTATACATAAAAAGAGCTATTGATATAATCAATAACATGGTGAATCTTAACTACATTACTGTTAAGTGAAAGAAAACAGATTTAAGGAGCTCCATACCACATAGTTCTTTTTATGTATTATATCAGGAAAGATAAACAAAACTATAGAGTTAGCCCAAACACACACACCAGTGGTACTCAAGGGTTTTGGAAGGGCTGAGGGCAGATATGCTTAGAAAAGGATACAAAGAAAATGTTAAATAGAAAAAAATTCACCAGAGGACAAATACATGTGACAGTCAAATTGTACTCCACCGAATCCGACTTAAAAAATGACAACTGCAGGAAATGATGTCATGAAAATCATGACTGGTATCATATCATACAAAGTAAGGGGAGTGCTAGCTCAGCAGGGAAAAGCAATTGTCATGTGAGCTTGAAGAACTGATGTGAGCCTATGTAAAAAGCTGGATGTAGCGACCGTTGTCTGTAGTTCCAGCACTCCTACTGAGAAGTGGAGTGGACACCGAGGAGCTGGAGGCTCCCGAAGTTACAGAGCAGCAAGCCTAGACTACCCAGCACAGTGGCAGAAAAGAGGGAAGCTGGCTTAAAGCAGGTGGAAAGAGAGGCAGCTCCAGGAAAGCAGCCGCTGACTGCACCCCGTGCACCACGGCAAGCTTATGCACATGCTCACACAGACACACAGTGAACAAACGTAAAAGGTAAGTTAACATTAAAATAGACTGAATGAAATATGTGGAATAAATGTTATGAGTGTACTTTTCTCTTCAGAGTACAGTAGATACAGCTTTGAAAAATTCTAAGGATGATTAAATAATCTCATGGAAATACAAACAAATACCTCCTGTAAAGGACTACAATGGAGAACGCATGGAAAACTGAGGCAAGAGAAAAGCTGAGTCAGAGATCTGTTCTAGTCAAGACTGAGGTACTTCCGGGAGGGACGGAGGAGCTCACGGCTAGTTTGGAGGAACTGAAAATCTGGTCTTCCTCAATGCTGATGTTGCTATCCACTCCTCAGTCTTAGCTCACCACTTCAATCCTTCTAATAAACTTCCACTGAATTAACGGAGTATGCTTAGTCTCTCTTACCTGGAGCTAGTGCCTCCCTGTACTTGGATTTGTGAGGTTTTTGAAAACTGGAAATGGCCACTGCGAAATTCTTACTCGTAGTACTGACTAAAGACAGAGCAATGCAACACTGGCTGTTCGGAAGCCAGGAACCTTTGCCTCTTCATTTCTACACACCATGTTTAATCGTTAGAATGAGCACTTTTGAACAAATTCTATGGGTACTACCATTATTGCATTTTACTAATTACTTACTTCATTTTTTAAAATTAATTCTCCAAACAATAATATTTAAGAGCCTAAAATAGCTGAGAGAGTAGGTCTACTCCCGCTCCCATTCAGGGCAGAGAGCAGAGGTGAGCTCCAGGCCCCCATCTTGGTCCCAACTTCCTTCCCCTGGCCCTCTCTGGGATTTCCTGGTCTGGGGACTGCAGCCAGGTCGACATGCCACAGGAGGACCAAGTGACCAGGAGCCTGCTGAGAGGGCCAGTCTACTCCTGCCCCCACTCAGGGCAGAGGGCAGAGGGCAGAGCTACCACCCAACCAGAGAGGGAGTGCCTCAGACCTGTCTGCACCCACTGTGAGACCCATCAGAGTATTGGACCTGCTTGCACCCAACGGAAGAGAACCTTGGACCCATACCCACCAGGAACTGAAGAGACCCCACCTATACCCATGAGAAAACTTTGACAGGGAAATGTAATCTGTTCCTTCACAAATACTCATTAAGAATAGAATAGACTTTGGAGATCCCCCATGAAGGGCCACACCCTTCCTGGAGATTCGAGTGGGGATTGGATGAGGAGTTGGAGAGGTTGGGGGAGAGGGGTGGGAGAGGGAGCTGGGATTGACATATGAAGCAAGCTTGTTTCTAATAAAAAAGAACACACACATGAAGACTTATCTCCAAATGCCGATGATACATCAATGAGCACGAAGAAGGCATCATCTTTCCCATGCTTTTGTAGTATATGAGGGCCTAAGAGAGACAAATAGCTATAAAAGAAATTATGTGTGATACTGAAATAAAGAATGCAAGGGGAAAGTAAACTGTGAATGAAAAAAATAAGGAGCAAACAGATCTAGAGAACACAGTTGCAGAAAACCACAATGGGGTGATTTGGAAATTCAGTAGAAAGAATATCTCAGCAAAGAAGGCATCAATGGAATCAGAGATAAAAACAAAGTAATAAATAAAAGAAGTCATTGCCATGTGTAGAAATTCTGGATAAATGTGGCATGGGCAGTGAGATGCCCAGTGACAGACTGAGAAGGGTGTGTGTCACAGAGTGGGAGCCAACAGATAGAAACGGTGGCGCTCCACACACTAAAGGTCAGTGAAGCAGGAACAGCTAGACCAGGCAGAGTGCCAGTATCTGTTTCTTTGGTACTTGTACCTTAGTGTATCCTCATGAACATGCCCTTGTGAACAAGTGAAGAGAGCGCACATAGTGTTCAGGTGGCTATACAAGGTATCAAAAATAACGTCCAGAATGAAACTGAAGAAGTAGTTCAAGAGAATTCTTAATACACTCAGTTAAAAAGGTAACCAACCAACTAAGAACAGAAGCTATTACCACTAATTTTAGGATAAACATTGCTGAACCAGGAAAATGGCTCAGTGGGTACAAGAGCTAAACAAGTACGCATGACAACCCAAGTTTGATTCATTAACTCACCTAAAAATCAAGATGTGGCAGCACGGGCCAGTAACTCCTATATCCCATCAGCAAGAAGGGAGGCAGAGACAAGAGGATCACCTCAGGTTTTTGAGCCAGGCAGCAGAAGCCCGCTCCAGGGAAGTGATAGCAAAGGACAGACTTCAGTGCTTACATCATTCAAAGAAGACCTCCACGTGTCATGATGTGTGGAACTCCCCCAGAAATGTTAGGAAAGATTAACACTATGTGATTTAAAAGTTAACTGTAGATATAGTTTCTTATAGATAAAAGACTTGTAAATTTTCAAGTGGTCTTTTTTTCTTTTTCATTACATTTACTTATTATTATTATTATTGTGTGTGTGTGTGTGTGTGTGTGTGTGTGTGTACCATGGCATGCATGTGCGAGTCAGTGGGCAGGATTGTAAGACTTGGCTTTCTCCTTCCACCATGAGGGTCCCAGAGATTTAACTCGGGTCGTCAGGCCTGGTGGTTAAGCACCTCCACCTGCTGAGCCACCATGTTGACCCCCAAAGGCCTTTTCGAACTTGTTAAAGAAACAGTCAGTACCATAGCAGTAATATGAAAAAGATCTGCTTCTCAAGTGGTTGCCAGGGAGGTTAGCACTGTGAAAACCAGTGGGAAATGACGAAGGGAAACTGAGGAGTAAAGAAACAGAGGTCAAGTTGCAGTTAGAGAGAAGATGAAAGGGACGAGGGCAAGACAAGTCCAAGGGCAGCTCCTTAAGAGGGAGAGTGTGGGGGTGCAGCTAGAAATTAAAACATGCCACATGACCTTGAGAGTTTGTAATGAAAAGTTAACGACAAGGAATAACTGTACTGACAGGACTAATGCTACATATTCCATAAAGAATAATGACTTTATGAACAGTCTGAAAATTAGAGGGGATCTTTTGTACTTATCCCCTAAATCTTCACAGAAATTGAAATTGGGGCCTGGGGCTACAGCTCAGTGGTAAGGTGCCTGTGTAACATCTACAAGGCCCTGGAACAGACACGCCCATATTTAATCTGACGGAAGCCATTCCTTAAATTTCCTCTTCCTGGGCATCTCAAGTTGACAATGACAATATTGCAATATTATACTGAGATGATTCAGAGACAAGAGAACTGGAGCTGAGAACAGATTTAAGCTTGCCAACAAATTAAAAAAAAAACATTACCAATTTGGGGGTGGTGGCTACAGCTAAAATACTGATAAGGACAGCTTGGAAATGATACTAAAATCAATTAATATAAAACCAATTAGTCAAGTAACATTTTAATAAAAATAAGATGATAAATATTTAAGTCTGGCTTAGGCATTGAGTGTATTAATCTAAAGAAAAATTACTTCTTATAAAAACATTAAAAGTGGTAAACATAATTTTGACTGTTTTAATGGACTGATATTCCCAAAGGGCCCTTCATAACTTTTTCTGTCAGAAAGAGACAGATGAGCAGGGTGTGGTGATATGAACCCTGCAGCATCAGCATTGGGGTGGCCTAAGCAAGGACTAGGTGACTGTAGTGTTTTGGGCCAGAAGAAGGTGTTAAGGGGAAAGGTCAGCTTACTTGGAGGTAGAGGCAATCTACAATAGGCTTTTTAAGGGCTGAAAACTCATAAGTATATTTTGTGAGTGAAGAGCTTTTGCCCAGATCCATTTATCTTCTCACAGGTCTGTGGAAAAGGTAGCAGTACTCTCAGTAAGTGTGAACTCTGGCATAAAGGCCATCTCAGACTTGTCCTCTGAGGACACAGCTCCCAAACTGAAAAGACGAAGCATTCACACTGCTATCTGTTCTACTTTCTAAAGAGTCACCAGTGACAACTTCCAACACTGTAGGACAGAATGCAGAGGCATGGTTCCTGTCCATTGAAGGTAAGAACTGAAATGGGATGGTTTCAAGAGTCTATACAGAATCCAGTTTGAATTATTACTGAATATACCACTCTATGGCATGGCTTTTAGATATTATGTTGAGGAATTTAAGCATTCCTTTTCTATTTTTGGGTGTGAATGAGTAGTTTAAGAAGAATCATATATGGATTGTTGGTGTGAAACTGAAATGCTCAAACTGCTATAGGGAACACAGCAGCACCCTTCATGACAGAGGTGGAGGAAACTTTCTGAATGACTTTCCATTTGCTTAGGAATTGAGGCTAATATCTGACAAGCGGGATCTCATAAAACTAAAAGTTGTATAGCAAAGAATACAATGGGAGAAAATCTTAGCCAGGTCTACATCTGTTAGAGAATTCATATACAGAGTATGCAAAAAAAAAAAAACAATAAAAAGTCAAGCAAACAAATGACCTAATTGAACAATGGGCTTTGGAATTGTCATAAATATTAAGGAAACTCTGTTGTTCAGTCACAATGAATAAATTGCACATATGATTCTGTAAATCCACAGTGATTGTGACAGCATGTACAGTAATCCAATCAGACACAACCTGAGAATGGGGGGTGGGGAGTTGGGCAAAATTCCTACCATTACCTGAGGAGCAACTGGCATTTGAAAACTGTTTGGAAACAGTGAGGTTTTTGTTTTGTTTTGTTTTGTTTTGTTTTGTTTGTTTTGATGTGACCCCTGGTAGAGTGACCACACACTAAGACAGGCTACACTCCAGGATTACCTGAGCAACATAAACTGGATCTGAGGGAGAAATTTCAAAGTTGGGTAGAAGGCATGGAGGGGTAGATGGTGGTTCTCAGGTTTGAGGAAAGGGTGGTCATATGTTCCTCATGCTGAGGTGACCCCCAGCCATAGAATTATTTCAGTTACTTCATAACTGTGATTTTCCCACTGTTATGAATAATATACAAATATGACATGTAGGATATCTGATATTCAATACCAAACCACAGGTCGAGAACCACTGAAGCAAGGTGTTTTGAAGGCTACCATCAATAGCAAACTAATCAGACAAAAGATTAGCTTGAAGTTTAAATAGATGTATTTTACATGAAGCAAGACATGAATAAAGTCTATATACAATTCAACCTCATTTTTAGATCAAATTTTCTTCACTTTTTTTTTCTAAGTAGCAATGGGTGCCAAAATGGACAGGCTTATTTTCTCCTGCCCAGACTCTATCTAATAAATAGTAATAAGACATAGCAATGGAAAGAAAGCAAAAGCCTAAATAATTTCATTCCCAGTGAACAAATAATCACCAATTAATTAAGATTACTGAAAAAGTCTCCACTCTGGTCATACTATGGCTACTAACTGGGGACCTTTACATCCTTCTAGCTCCTGTCCCTCCCTTTGGGACTAACAAGATGAGCCTCCTCTCAACACCATTCAGAACCCTGAAGCCCACCCAAGTATCAGGAAGACATAGGCAACCTACCTAATATCTCTGGCACAACAATTATACCAATCTGGTTGTTCCTTAGGCTCTGTAGCAGGAATCATGATTTCCTCTCAACCTCTCTCACTCAGAACATAGATGCCTCAATATTATTGATCCTATAGCATTCCCACATGGCATGAAGACACAGGTAAACTACCTGGGCTCCTCAGTAGCATATACACAGTCATACATACTCAGGTCATCTTATACCTGTTGACAGAGATCCTACTCCTAGCCTTTTGGGACCTGGCAGGGCATAGACGTACTCACACAAAGAACCCTCTAACTGGTAACTTAGCTGTGGTTTCCAACAAACACATCACTCCAATCACTACTTACTACAGATCTGTGCTGCAGCCTCACAACAGCCCTGGCACAGCCTGATGAGTTCACCTGACCCTAACTATCGACACCAGCCCAACTCCCAGACATACTTCAGGTCCCAGGAACCTAGCTAAGACTGGTGAAACCTGCCTTTCACACCCAACCCCTGGCAGGTAAAGGATCCTATTTGCCAGCCCAGCCTGCTAAGCTCATATCAGACACTCAACCAATATACCCAGGCCTCACCACCAAAATAACACAAAAAGTGAAAACAGTGTGTGATTCCTGCAAATTCACCAGCCGTCTGTTCTCCAATGAAAAGGATACATAGGAGCCCAAGGACACAGAACTTAAAAGGAACAATCACAAGATCCAAAGAAGAATTGAGAGCATTTTAGGAAGACACCAAGGGCTTAATGAACTTAAAGATAATAAATATCTGAGCACATTCAAGAAAACACAAAGCTGAGGTTGAAGGAAATAAAGAAGACAATCTAGGACGAAAGAGACTTCAAGCTGTGATGAAGATGGAACTGAAATGCTCAATAACTAATAAGAACACACACACACACACACACACACACAGAGAGAGAGAGAGAGAGAGAGAGAGAGAGAGAGAGAGAGAGAGAGAGAGAGAGAGAGAGAGATAAGAATATAGAAACTGGGGTACCATAAAAAGACCAAGTCTTCTTCAATTATGGTATAAATGAAGAAGAATCCCAGCATAATGGTGCAGACTAGACTTTCAAAAGATCAAAGAAGAAAACATCCCCAAACTAAGGAAAGACAGCCACTCAGATACAAAAACTACACAGATCATCAAATAGACAAGATCAGAAAAGAAACTCCTCACAGCATGTCATAGTTTAAAAACTAACATACAGAACAAAGCAAGAGCATTGAAAGCTGTGAAGGAATAAACACAAGTCACACATAACAGAAAAGCAAAGAATAACAGTTGATTACTCAACAGAAATGTTGAAATCCAGAAGAGCCTGAAAGTACTATAAGGTGACATATGCCAACCTAGACTACTGTACCTAGGAAATTTATCTACTATAGTTGAAAGAGAAAGACAAATTAATCAAAACCAAACTTACAGAATATAATAGAAACAATACTTTAGACTGAAGAGAGAGATAAATATAGCCAAGAGTATAGAAAGAAAACAAGTGAAGCTATGATTACCAAGAACACAAAGAGCCAACAAAACAAAAAGAAATGCCAACAGTAAACATACAGCTTTCAATAGTAACTTCAATTGCCAATGGTTTCAACTCTCCAATTCAAAGAAACAGGGTGGCTGAAAAGGTTAAGAAACAAAATCCATCTTTATGTAGTCTACAAGAAACTCATTTTAGCTCTAAAGATGGTTACCACCTTAAAATGAAAGGACTGCAACAAAGTATTTCAAACAAATGGGATCAGGAAGCAAGTGCTGTTACTATCCTAATAATTGACAAAGTAGACTTCAGTCTAGCACTAATCAGAGGAGATATAAGGAAGGGTGTTTCATTCTAATGAAGGGAACAATTAATCACAGACAATACAATCCTAAACATAGATGCACAAAATGCTGCTGCACCCAATTTTTAAAAAGCACAATACTGGAATTAAAGATAACATCAACTCAGTAATAAGTTAACAACACTTTCTCTAATGGATAGATAATTGTACAAAATATAAAGAGAAAAACATCAGAATTAAATGACAGCAACATCAAATTAACTTAACAGATTATATTGAGAATATTATACTCAAGCATCAAAAATTACTCCCTTATACTCAGCAGCCAGTGAAAGACTGTGTGGTTATATATTATTTATGACTTAATAAAGACTGCCTGAAGGTTCAAACTGCAGCCATGTTGAGGAGAGGCAGCAGTCTGAGGCTTGATGGAGAGCTTGTGGAGACAGGCTCCACCCCTTTCAGTCTGAGGTAGAGGTAAGAGATAACAGTTGGCTGCTTTGCTTATCTGACCATCAGCTTGAACCCCAATATCTATTTTAGATGTTTTATTATTCATGTCACCCGACTGTCGAAAATACATCATATCTGGGACAAACATATACAAAAAACTTAGAAAATTGAAAAAAAACTGAGATAACTCCATGTATTATGTCTGATCACAATACAACAAAATAGACAGCAAATAAATCTCTAGTAACTACCCAAACTCACTGAGACTAAAACACTTCTTACGGATTGATAAATGGGTCAAAGAAACCAAGAGAGAAATAGGAAAACATTTCTGGAAATACATGAAAATGAAAACACAAGACAACAAATCTCCGGGACATTGAAAGCAGCACTACAGTGAGAATTTGTATCTCTGAATAACTACATTAAAAAGTGAGAAGAACCACCAACAAATGGCTTAATAATGCAACAAGAATTTGGAAAAACAACAACGAATCAAAGCCAAATCTAGAAGACTGCCATCATGAATAAACATAAAAACCAAAAAATAAAAAGTCAGAGCAGAAATAAATAAAATAGAAACAAGGAAAACAACCCCAAGAGTCAATAAGAGATGGTTCTACAAGAGGATGACCAAGTCTGACAGACCCTTGTCCAATTACCCCACCCCCAAAACAAATAAACACATGACCCAAGTAGCGGAGTCAGAAATACACAAGCAAACACTACAACAAAAGTCAAAGAAATCCATAATATTATAAGAGAATACTTTAAAAACAAAAACAGCAGGAAATTATTAATTTACAAAATCTGAAATAGACTAATTCCAGATTCATCAAAACTTCCCAAGTTAAATCAAAAAGAGATCACCAACCCAAAAAGATCTGCAACCAATAATGAGATTGAAACATTAATAAAATGACTGCTGACAAAAAAAAGCCACAGTTCAGATGGACTTACAGCAGAACTCAACCAGACTTTGAGTTATTCATCCAATACTTTGTAAATTATTGAGAAACAAAAACAGAAAGAGCACTTTCAGATCTCCTCTTATGAAGCCAGTAGTACTCTAATGCTAAACTCAGGTGAGGACATCAGAAAACTACAAGCCTATATCCCTAGTAAACACAGAGCCAAAACCCTTCCATAAAATATTTACAAACATTACAGTCATACATCAAAAAGATCATCTACCATAATCAAGATGACTTTATTCCAGGGATGGAGGGATGCTTGGATATCCTAAGTCACTATGTATAATAAATCACATAAAAGGACTTAAAGACAAAGTTACATGCTCAGTTCAACAGCTGGAGAAAAGGCCTCAGCATATATTCATGACCAAAGTCTTAGAGAGAATAGGCCTGAAGGGAGCACACATAGCTCAACATAATGAAAGCTCCAACAAATGGTTTCCTGGGAAAGCTGCATGTGCACACACAGAAGAGTGAAATTAGAACCATACCTGTCACCTTCACAAAACTCTGCATGGATCGAAGACTTAACTGAGAAACCTCAAACACTTAAACTGATATAAGAAACACTAGCTAGCAACCATAAGGTATGTACATAGAAAAGAGCTCTTTGAATGTTATTTTAGGGACTATGGAGATGAGTTTTAACTGAAGGGGCTAGTGACTAAGGCTTCAAAATCATGTACTAAAACAAATTATGCAAATATATTTTTAATTTACTTGGCTATTTTCTTATTTACCCTTTTGCTTAGCTAACGTGGTTTAAAATGAGGACGCGAAGTTGGATGAGTGGAGAATAGGGTGGAGGCGCTGGGGTATCTGTGAGAAGTTGGTACAGGGTATGAATGTGATCAAAATTTACTGTGCAAAATTCTCAAAGAATCAAAATGAGGAGATAAGAAATTCATCTTTTCAAACCATAATCTCCAAAATGAAGATATTTCTTTCTTATCTCAATGAACCATAGCAGCTTCAGCAGCATCACTTAGAGAATTGTGTGTTTACAGAAGCTAACACAAAGTATACTTGAAATCATGAAGTTAATTCATTAATTTACCAAGTCAGTTTTGAGGAAAAGGTGTCACTAACCAAGAGTATTTGGAAGTTTGACTGTGGTTGTCTGAGGTCCCTTCTGCAGAATATGTGGTAGACAAGCAATGCCTATGCTGTTTCTAATTATTCCAATTATCATGGCACACTATGAAAACTTGATTAATAACACTGAAGATATTGTTGTGGCAATTAGCCATATGGTTGTGGGACTTTATTCTGTCACGATTTAGCCATTAGCATCTACTTATGTTTGTCAGAACAGTGCATCCGTGACAAGCTGAAGTTCTGCTCACCTTGCCGAGTCCCCTGTGAGCAACACTAGAGAACTGTTTATTCCTGGGAGTCTCTTGCCTGAGTAAATTTTTCATGTGGCATCCGGTCTGACTGGGAACAAATGTCAAATAGCTTATATGTCGACCCATCAAGCTAAGCATTCTCTGAAAATTCACTTTGTGCCTTATGTGTAAAAACAAAGTGATTGAAGGAAATAATTTGTCCAGTAATGACGGATCATCTATGTTGCTTCATGTATTAATACAGTAATTCGGAGAATTGACTTTTCAGATACTGACATATAGAGCTATGTAACTATGGCAATATAAGGATATATACAAGTGCATATATGTGAACAGATTATATGCCCCAAATTTACCACCTTAAGTATATATACATGACATCTGTAATTAATTTGTTCAAGAGAAGTGAGATAATCTAGCTCATTATTGGAGATAATCTTGTTAATTATGAGTGGCAATTTTGAGGAAGAACAAAGTGG